CACAACATCTTTGTTGGTATGTGGTGCTGAGGATCGAACCCAGGCCACATGCATGCCAGGCGAGCGTGCTACCGCTTGAGCCACATCCCCAGCCCTACCTTGTATAATTTATAGGAGGAAATGAGTAAGAGGGAATTCACCTCTTCTAAACCAATAAGCTGGTCTTTATCATTCAGTAAGCCAACAAGAATACCTCACATAGACTGAGGTTTAAAAAGGAGCCCACTGACTGGGGCCACAGGCACCTGCATTCCACGCTTCTGGATCATGATTAAGCATGTCTCACTTAGAAACAAAATCTCCAAGAGGCAACTGGGGTCTTTTCATTTTGAAAATGCTTTAATAAGTGTTGACAACACTGGTTTGCAAAATGTAAAGGTACTATACAAATTCTTAATACAAAAAGAATAAATTAAAAGCAGATTTCTCTTTAATTCTGCAACTTTGTCTACAACATACATCTTTTTCATTGATTACAGTTGAACAGAATCCAGTAAAATCATTTTACATGCTCTACAGTCAGTTTCAGGAGCAACCTAATCTTTCCCCCCATTATTAAACTAGAGTCCATTTTACACAACTTGTAATAAACTATTGACATTAATGTATATGTAAAACTTTACACCTAGTTAACTAAGCAGTAATTGGTCGTCTGATAGCACCTGGATGAGGTTTGCTATATTTAGAACTAAACTAATACTGAATGAAAACAAATTGGAATTTTAACAGTTTCAACACTCACCTGCATATAACAAAATTAAAACAAAACAAAACAAAACAAAAAAACAACCTGGCTCACAACGTAGTCTGGTTTATGTGTCTTCACCAGTCTTCTGGCTGAAACAGGCAATTTCTTACATGTATCCAAAAAATCCAATAGGGGCTTTTATCAGACCAGGGACTTTGTATTTCATCATATTTTGTTTTAAAGAAATAGGGATATGTAAAGAGTTTCCAAGTGCTTGCATATAATCACTACAGCATTTCCCACCACACTGACCATTATCATGTCAGTCTCAAGGACTAACAGTTATGTACATTTTGTATCAACTGAACACAGCTAAACAGTAAAACCTGTTTTACTTAATCTGTCTTTACTACCAGACTCTCAGGATGTTTGCTAGAACTGTAATTCTGTTCCCACTCCATTCCTCTTTGCCCCCCCCCCTCAAATCTAAATGTAACCCAAGGTTTTTGGAAGAAAGTTTGATCCAATTTACTTCAGACCTGATTTCAAACCACCGTCCAAGTTATATCACCTGTAACCTTGCTACCTTGTCCCCTTTTCCATTTCCCTTTTGACTTTTCCTGTTGCATATAATTCAGTCTGATTATTCATCTATCTTGTAGGAAAAATAAAAAATGACCCAATGAATGCTTTCAAACAGGGAAGGTGGGGGGAGGGCTAAAAAAAAAACATGCTGTCTGTAGCTCTGTCAAAACAAAAACAATTGAAATACCTCCTTCCCACCCAGTCAAGCCCCAGATTCATTCAGTAACTTCCTAACTAGTTTCTATTTATCCTGCAGTTTTATTCCTCAGTGTTCTGAAAATAGCAATCCCTTCTGCAAACTGGTATCACCAACCTAGCCATGCACAGTGGGCTCTGGGGCCCTGAATCGTGCACAAAGAAGTGGAAGAGGCTGTGGCCTGATGCTCCCACTTGACTTCCAGTTCTCCCCAGTGGCAGAGGGAGCAGTTCATTTTGGTGTCCATTCTTACCCTCCCTGGTCTGGTAGAGTCTATTGTTATTCTTGGATTACATATACATGAAAAACGAAATTTTTTTTTTTCTTTTGACACTACAGCTAACTTTAGTTCTGCTTTCCCAAAAAACCACCCCCACCCTGGCTCCTGTCCCTGGCTGTCAAATGCCTTTCCAATAGGAAATCGTTACAAAGAAGAACACGCCACCCCACCCCACCCCCACTTGGCGCCAACAAGCACAGCATACCACCTCTGTGACCTTTTTTGTGCCATCTTGAGTAACCCAACTAAGATTGTGCACTTGTTAGTTATTATAAAAGTATTTTTTTGAGGCCTTTGAAGATTGATGGCTTTCTGGTTGTGTATTAAGCATAGCTCAAAACACATGTAAACGGGCAGCTCCCATCTGTTATTTTTCTTCCTCTTTTGGTATCTGCAGACAAAGGTGGTGCTTCACGGTAACTGATTCTGCAGTAGGTTACAGGTCCTTTGGGAGCTGATTTTTTTTTTTTTCAACCCTGCTCTGCCTGCTGGCTAGTAGACACTGTGGAAAATCTTTCTACCTAAGGGCATAGTTGGGTTCTTTGAATAAGTGACACATAGGAGAAGTCGAATCTGAGCTGTTTGTCACACAAGTGCTAACATAAAATGAGCCACAACAGTTAAACACTTGAATGGACTGCAATGTGCTTTTCCCTTGGTTTCCCATAAAAAAAAAAGAAAAGAAAAAATGAAACACCTTGTGCAAAAAAATAGGTTACACTTTTACTGGTCGTTTTAATGAGAGAGAACCACTTTTGGCAATTATCACCTTATGTTTACTACAAATCCCCAAAGGAAAGCAGCTTTGGGTCTCGGGCTTCGGCTGAGCCCCCTTCACAGACCAGGCTAATTGTACACTCTGCTCCTCCCCGAGGGTCTGTTTTCCTTCATGTCCAGACTGATGGAGATTCTGAGTCAGGGAGGCCAGCCAAGACTCCCTGATCTTCACCCTGCCATTGGGTTAGGGTTCCAGGCTCTCACGGAGGAAGAAGTGGACTGTCAAGGGTGATGGATCAGAGGACACGATTTACAAATGGTTGACTTACACTGTGGTGTGCAGAAGCAGTTTAGATTCTAAAAGAAATTTCATTGCAGAAAGAATGTCTTCCGCTTGGCCCCTCTTATTTCTGTTTGCATGTAATTATTTTATTTGTTTCTCTTTGGCAGCGTAGAACTGATTGTGATCCTCTGGTGCATCTCGGGGTGTTAACCTTCCTCACTTCTTCTCCCCGCAGACACTCCCTCCCCCAAGCTCTATTAGGAATATTTCAGGTGTCAACTGAATATCCCCACAAGGTACCCTCTCCTTGAAGTGCTTGGTTGGCCTACAGGCGGCAGGCTGGACGCAGCTTCATAGTCCTTCTGTGGGTAAATCTTCCTGTTCTCTGCCAATGCTACTTGTCCGCAGGAATTTCATGCCAGCCGGCTTCCCTGACAGTTCCTGGCCTGGGGGCTGTCAAGGCAGGGGAAGCCACCAAGGTGCCATTGAGGATTGCTGATTAGCTCTCTGTGGGCAAGAGAGCCAGGGGACACACAGTGGGACCGGAACCTTCCAGAATGTCTCCTCAGTCAGGTTTTGAGGGTGAAGGGGTTGCGGAGACAGGAGAAAAAAAGTGCTGAGGACCGAAGCTGGTGCAGGTGACAGTGCGTCTGGGTAAGGCAAATGAGAGGCAGTGAGGTGACTCAGAATGGCGTCGAGGCGGTCAGATCAGGCCGGGGCTGTCTCACACGAGGGTCCCGGGCTTGGCTTTTTCCTGCCCATACCACTGGACGTCAGCTAGTTCTGGGTAGGGGGAGGAATCCAGGAAGCAGCTGTCATTGCAGCCCCTGTGGGGTCCAAGAAGGGATATGAGATGGTTAGAGAGGAGTGGCACCCGGGCCTGCATCAGGGTATGTGTCCACTGATGGAGGCCCTCGACTGATTGTCAGTCTTCCCTGTTTAGAAGAAGTGAGGCCTGATACACTCAACAGAGCTGAGTATATAGAAAGCACTTAGACCAAAAGGGTCCAAGTGACCTCCTGACACTCGACATCTGAGAAAGAGGAAAATGCAAGCTAACGAATACTTAACATGGTAGTTTCCAAGCCTGGCTGCACCCTGGAATCACCAGGGACCCCAAAGTACTCCTGCCTGACCCCACCCGGAGCTGCTAGAATTGGTCTGGTTGTGAGTGAGTGATGGGGGCTTTAGAGGCTCCCCTAGGTGATTCTCCAGTGCAGCCAAGGCCCAGAACCCCTTAGGCCATATTCCTCAAGATGGACTCTTCCTACATGATAGTCACGGGGTTATCTTCCATTGGGCTTGGGGTGGAGGTGGGGGTGGGGTAACCAGATTTCACTGGGAGAGTTTTATACTGACCTGGAAGGTCAATGGAAATGCCAGGTTTCCCTGTAGTGAGATTAAGGTGATACTCTAAATTGAGTTTTAAATGTCTTTTTAAAATCAGTGCTGTTTATTCTGAATATCATCTATTTTTTTGTGATTATTAAAAAAGTACTCACTTATAATATATAGTAGAAGCTGGGCATGTAGCTCAGAGGTAGAGAGCATACTTAGCATCCCTGGGTTTGATTCCCCAGCACCAAAGATAAACAAAATATATAGGAAAGTATATAGAAGAAATAAAGGTTTCCAAAAAAGTTTGTCAGGTAGGCATTACTATTTAAGTTGGGTAGAAATGATTCTTAACTGTTAAGAAGAGACCACACAGATATGTTTGACACCCATGGTCATTTCTAGGGATCATTATTAGAGAAAAGCCCCTCTCCAGATCTCCTAAACTAGCTTTTCAATTCCTCTCCTTTGGCTCATCTTCCCATGCCCAGTTCTAGGGGTATAGTGTGGATGGGTGACAGGAAGAGACCTCAACCTGATGTAGTTCAAAGGAAAGTGAATTTAAAAAATATCTTTTTTTTTTTTTTTTTTAGGTGGTGGAGGTAGTGCTGGGAAGTGAACTCAGGCCTTGCACATGCTAGGTAAGTGCTCTGTCACTGAGTTGCATCCCCAGCCCCTTTTATGTTTTTAGATAGGGTTTTGGCAAGTTGCCAAGGTTGGCTTCAAACTTGAAATCCTCCTGTCTCAGCCTGCCAAGTAGCTGGGATTACAGGCATGTTATTAAGGATATCTTACTAACAAAGTGCCTCATGAACCAGTTTACACTGAGAGTAACCAGTCATTCCCATTTTTCTATTTCATTTCCCAACTTCTCTAGGAACAAATGGAAGAAAGCATTCTATGCATTATAAATTTTTCTCATTTGGTCTTTAAAAAAAGAAAAATGCATAAAAGCTAGAAAAATCCCAAGTCATCCGTGAGCATTCTGGTGCACTTTCATGTGTCTTGTGCTTTGGAGCTCTGGAAATACACTAGGTTAATTCTGTTTAACTGTGAGCCCTGCAGGGGACATGTGCTGCTCCTTGGGGGACAATCCATCTCTTACACATGACACCACCACCCCCACTCCTACCAGGGGTGGGCACATGACAGGTCTGCCAGTTAGAGCCCTCCAACTAATTACTGGTTCATAGATGGCCAAGCAGGGATGAGCAGCTTTGAAACTATGAGGATGTCAACTTCCTCCTATGAATGAAAGTAACAGGAGCAGGAAGCAGAGTTATGGAGGGAAAAAGAGCTTGTGAGCCCTGGCTCCGTCCCACCTTCATCTTCCTGTACATCAGCCAGCATATACTCTTATTTACTTGTTGCATTGTTTTTTTTTTTTTCCAAATGAACTAATTAATACTGGCACTTACATAGTTTCTTAAACTCTTGACAGAAATTTGTTTCTGATAAAAATGTGATCTTAATCTCGTGATGACAAAATTTTCCTTAGTGGCTTCATGGGATATAAGGAATCACCTCAGCCAGTTTTTTTCAAAGTAGATTTGTGTCATGCGCTAAGGAAATAAAAGGTTCCCTGGAAAAATAAATTTGGGGACTCAGCCTTTTAGAGAACTGCAATGTACGTGGACACATATTAAAAGCTCTGAGAAGTTCTGCATTACTTTGTTTCACCCAGAATTTCCCAAACAGTATTGCCTATTAACAAAAGTATAAAATGTGTCTGAATCTCTTGTATGTTGGATCCTACATAGTTTCTGGTCGAAACTGTTACGGTTAAAATTTTTTGAGTAATAACTGTATCACAATACAAAGGACCTTTGTCACAATTTAATCTGCTTCAGAGGTACTAAATGTCCTTTTTATATTGATAGTAAGACTCAAGGAAAGACCACTGAGTTCAAAGCAGTAGTATTTGGATAAGGCAGCAGGTTGTTAAGGGCTCCTTCAGGGGTTTATTCTGTCTGTGAAGACACAGTCTAACTCCTGGATGGACCACATTACTCTCCTGTGGCTTCCAGGAAGGCTCCTACATCATAGCGTCCCGTTCCACGTGGGAGGTCATCAGATGTTCTAAGTTCTGTGGAGTTTGTATCTTTTAAAATTGTAGGATCCTTCTGCTTAGCTAATTAGCTCATTAGAAACCCAATGCATAAAACAGACCAAGCAACATCTGAATGATGGGTGGTGGGATGGGAGAAGCTGGGTAGGAGCCCACCATTTGATTGGTGGTTTGGTCCCCACATAGCCCCCAAAGTGCCACAATAAGCAAATGACTGGCCTGTCCTATGCCTGCTCTTGAGAAGGGTGGAACTTAATAATATCCCAGAAAAGGTTGACTGTGACTGGTCTGAAATGAACATTTTCTTTTCAGATTAAAATTTATTTACTAAAAGAATAAAAGAGAGAACAAGATAAAACAAAGCTGGAAGAAAAAAATACCATCCATCCCTTAGACATTTTACATAGATTATTTCTTAGTGACTCCTCCATCATTATTGAATTATCTAGTAGGTGGTTTTAAAAGCTACAAATATTGCTTAATGTCTTGGTATCTTTTCCTCATGTAACTGAGAAGAGACTTGGTCCTGGGAGCTCAGACAAGCCCATGCTTCTCATTCAGTACAGATTCAGTTTTAAGCGAATAGTCAAGAAATACCACATGCCAAGAAAGCACAACACAAAACAGACTGTTAGGAAGCAGCTATTTTTCACAAGTAATACAACAGGGAGTCACTAAATAAGTCTCCCTGGTAAATTTAGTGAGTCATTCATGATCCTAGGGGAACTTTCTAATGTCACCCAGGAGAGTAGCCTAGACCTGCACACCCTTGGCCACCAAGGGTCTTGGGAGTGGTGACTCTTGAGTCTGTTGATGGCCACCACTGCCCTCTGCCCAAGGGGGCTTTCCACTGCAAAAAGGCCCTTTCCCAGCGGTTAAACTCAAGAGACACACAGGGATGCATGACCCACCAGGGGCTGGCCAAGTCAAGGCTTCCATTACAAGGAAGTTGTTGAATTCACAAGCCTCCATTACCCACATCTCAATGGAGTCTGTGACTATAACTGCTTGATATAGGGAGGTGTGTGTGTGGGTGTATTGTACAGAATCTTGTGGGGAGGAATTTCACTCAGCAAAATGACTTTTATACATTTTATAGATAGATTTTATAAAAGTACATTTCAACAATGGCTTATCTTCATCTCTTACCAAGTGTTGAGCAATGCTTTATCTCCATATCTTTCTAACAAATGAGGAATATGATTAACTTATGGAACCAACTGGCAGTGCACACTTGGGCTGCTGAACAGTGCTGCAGGTGATCACAAAGCCAGGGTGAAGAGGACTTCTAGAGCCATCCCTGTCTTACTTGGCCTGGGCATGTGCTGAGGCTCAAAATTTTCTTTTCTTTTCTTTTTAAATATCATTTCAAGCTGACACATCACATTTCCACAGCAGCCTTCCAGTCCTATTTAATTCTCAAGTTCTCCTGCCATTCCCATCTCTATCACTGTGACAAATGGTTTTGTCCCTCTAGTATTGAAGGAATGTTGCTCTTATGACATCATTCATTCGCTCTTTCAGTTTCTTCTCTGGCACCAGAGGAAAAGGTGCCCACCTTCCTCTGAGGAGCAAAGCGCCTGCTTTCCTAATCCCTCATCTCTCAACTGTAAAAACTGTTCCACATTTCTCTCTTGACTTTGTTCATGATCTTGTCCTAACCTACTTTTCAGGCAGAAGTTCTTGTTTTCTGCAGCAAAATGAGACTCTCTGTTGTTCCCCAAATAGACCCTCTTGTTTCTGCACCTGGGTTTGTGTCCTTGGGATGGCCTCCCTCTGCTTCCAGCCGGCTAAGCCCCCTCTACCTATTGCAATCTGGGCTCACAGAGCATCTCCATTTGCTCAAAATTGATCCCTCTCCTCTCTGAATACTTTTAGCATTTTAACTTTTAGAACACTTACTATGTGAGTGTGGCAGTTTCTTATTCCTTATCTCCTAACAGATTTTCAAACTGTGATTTGTAACTTGAAATTTCTGGAACTGTAGGATCCTGGAATATGGTCCACATTCATTTTTTTTTAAAATTTAATAAACTTAAATTTTTTTGTTCACTTCTGCATGGAGTTCTTATATTTTTAATTATCACTTGAAATGATGTTTAATTTCAAAGATGTGCAATTAATTAGAATTTAAGGTCCCCAGGTCTAGGGATAGGTTCAGGTGTCACAGTCTACCTGATGTCCACAATAGCAGCGCTTTGCAAATTTCAACAGGCATTTGATTTGGTAGTCCAGTAGTGCTCAGAGACCTTTCTAATGAGCTTCCACATAGTGATAATCATGATGCTAATTTCTGGATTACATTTTGAAAAGCAGGACACTACAGCATCTGATACAGCACAAAGCTGTCACTCAAGAATGCTGGGATGCAATTATGGGTGATGTTTAGGTGCTTCTGGATCAGCTCACTCTGCCCTTGGTGATTTAAACTTAAATCACAGTGACATTGTTCTCCTACACGCTGACTAATAAGGAAGTACAAACCTCTGCAGATCTTTGTATGTACTTAGAGCCTGGGAAGGTCTAAAACATACTGTGGGGATCTTTTCTGGGAAGTAGCATTGGGAATGCCCAACATCTGACATAAAAACAAACATATAAACAAATAGTTCCACATGTAATTAGAAATAAGACATAAAAACAATGGCTTCCACACCACTCAGATGTTTCCTTCTGGGAAAATCTGACATGTGTGAAGACAGCACAGAGGCAGTACATCTGGGATCATGAACTCACGGGCAGTAAGAACAAAACGTCCCCTTACGATACCTCTATTCATCAGTACTTTGGTGAGGTGGAGACTCAGACCCATCCATAATGGGCGAGTTTTCTGTTGCTTCTCTGAACAAAGGAAAGCAGAAGGAGGAAGAGAAGAGAGGTCATGTTAAAGGGAGGAATCGACACGCACATGATTAGTAGCTTATTAATACCTTGGAAAGACCCGCTGATTGTACACCCCAGTGTTAGTAAGGAGTCATGCAGAACTTTCAGTCCCCATAATTTTAGTTGTGTTAGGAAGGCAGGCATTGGTACATTTTACCCATGGTCTCATTTTTACATCATTAGTGATATGTTATTGTCCATTATTGATATTGTTCATTAATGATAATTCGGTTCAATCTGGCAAAATGGTTTATTTCAGGACCAAAATATCTTTTTGTTTCCAATTTCCTTGAGTCCTCACTAGCTATATATGGTGAATCAGGCACATTTCAAGACCAACTTACATGAGTAGGCATGTGAGAGTGCTCATGAATTTCAGAGCCTGTTGTCAAAATAATATAATATATTTGGAAGAGGTGAGACTGGGCATGATCCAGAAACTTTGGAGGATCCAGAGAGGCATACTGAGATCTGAAGCTCTCTATCTGAATAAGGTGGTTTAGCCACTGGAGGCATGTACACAGTGTGTCATTCTTTCATGAATTAATCTTGGGGATATGCTTGCACTCTCAGCCCTGCAATGGCTGTCTAGATACAGGCTAGAGCTGGGCTGAGTATGTCATGGAAGTGAATGTTAGTGATCAGTAATTAAGATGGGGTAGCTACTGCCAAAAGGCTGATAAGTAGGAATGGTCACAAGAACACTGTAATTGGGATTATAGTCTCTTAATTCCAAAGGAATAAGAGGCAGCATGGGATAGCAGTGGGTGTCAAACTTGAGTGTGCTTAAAGAACACCTGGAATGCTTGTTAAAACACAGTCTCTAGAGCCCACCCCAGAGTTTCCAGTTCAGCAAGCTCCCCTTGAGCCCAAGAATGTGCATTTCTGACAAATCAGAGGAGGCTTACGCTGCTGGTCTAGAGGGTCCACATTTTCAGACAATGTTTCATTTTCCACCACTGGCATTGTGGAGAAAAGACAGGATTTGAGGGTCACAGCTGCAGCTGTGTGACTTTGGGCCAAGCACTTCTTTTCTCTGAGCCTAGTCTGTAAAAATCAATAGATCCAGATCTTCTCCTTGCCAGGGTGCAGCACATAAACGTTAGAAGAAGCTCCCAGCCTTTGAGTACACAGCAAGCACTCAATAAGTGTTAGCTCTGCCTTTCCACATCAAAACCAAGCTCCAGGAAGCCTGGCATAAAATCATTACAGATAAACAGGCAGCAACAAAAATGCCAACCACAGGGATCTGAGATTTGGCCACCAGAGCCAATGGCAAGACTGGTTTTCTTGCGATTCAGCTCACAGATGACGGTCAAATTTTTCCAGATGTCCTCACCAATGCTCTAGCAAACCAGAAACTGTGGATTAAGCTGGACATGGGATTCCCCTTGCTCCTCTAACCAACAAATATTAAGAGACAATGGCTTAGGAGACAGGGGAGACAGCAGGTGAAAAAGCAGGTTACCTGTACCTGTGGGACCTCTGGTAGATAATGACAGCTTTACTGGCTACAGATTGTAACATTCTAGGCCTATGTTTAAAGCTACAAAAGGAACTGAATTCTGGTTGCATGTATTTTGCCGTGGGCAGTTTCTATTTAAAGGTTTCAAGGTACCCAATCACCTTTGTTGTCCGGTGTTTGGCCTGGACAGAAGCCTGTTTCTTAAGATGCATCCTGTTATTAAGATAGTGAATACACTGAGAAGCATGTGAAACACCTGGCCTAGTATATACCATAGAGCCTTCTCTAACTCTTCTTCTCCCTCACTCTTTTTTTTTTTTTTTTTTTTTGGCGCACTGGAGATTGAAGCCAGGTGTACTCAATCACTGAGCTACATCCCCAACCCTTTTTATTTTTCCTTTTGAGACAGCGTCTTGCTAAATTCCCATCTGATCTCAATCTTGTGATCCTCCTATCTCAGCCTCCTGAGTTGGTAGGAAAACAGATATGTACCACTGCACCTGGCTCTCCTCTGACATTTTTGCCTGGCATTTTGAGTCATCCTGGGTATCAACTAAACCCAAATCAAATCTTGTCTGGAATCCTGACCAAAGAAATACAATCCTACTTTCTTCCGCCTCCCCATGTCCTGGGGATCACTACCTACTTTAAAAGAGACCATACTAACTTCACTCCTAAAAGAGGGCCATGAAGTGGGGTAGAAGGTGATAGCAAGTCATGGGGCTTCTTTGGCAAGGAAGCAGTTTCCCAGTAATGTGCTCCCATCATTGGTTGATGATATAGCTTTATGTCACTAAGACTTTACACAGATGACAAGTCTTCCTAGCTGACAAGTCAGGAACCTGGAAGAAGAACCAGGTTAAAGGACTGGAAGGAGAACTCACCCAGTCTGCCAGGTTAGGATGTGGTGGGGACTGCTTGGGGGGGTGGCTCCGATTTCACTTGACGGTGTTGAGCTTCTCTGGCTTTGAGGTAAGGCAGCTGTATGTGGGTGACATGGGAAAGACGGAGAAGATGGGTCAGACCTGATAAGGGTGCTTAGGGGTCACAATTAGCAGGGATGCAGGACATGACCCCACAGTAGGGTCTCAGTGACCCGATGGCAGTCACAGTGGGGAAACATCTCTGTTGCCCCCACTCCTGCATACCGCTGATGCATTTTCTCCCCTAAACCATGCATTTCCATTCTGACTCAGGCTGACCTGGTATCCTAGGTCCCAACCTCAGACTCCTCAGTCTTTTGAGGGAGAACTGGGCAAGGCTAGTGCAGAAAGAGCTGATTTCTCTGGAGAGCAGAGAGATACAGCTCAGAGCATTCTCAGATGTGGCCCCAGTGTAAAGATGATGCTCCCCTCTATGACAGAACCTCCAGAAAGTTCTCTGAGCCTGCTCTCTCTGCTGTTTCAGGCTCACCATTTGCTATTTTAGTACCCTTCAAAACAGGCAGAACTTTTACTCATCCATACCTGACTACTGAGAGTTTGTTGATGTGGACAACACAAGTCTAATTGGGAGAATTCAACAGGAGTAAATCCTACTTAGATGCATCCTTTGCTTTCCTGGGAACAGAATCCTTTTCTTCAGTCAACCTTAGATACAGCTTGTTATGGTTTAGATATGAGGCATCCCCTGCCCCCTTCCCTTTCCCCCCAAGGCTCAAGTGTGGAACAATGCAAGAAAGCTTAGAGATGAAATGTTTGGGTTATGAGAGTCTTAATCTAATCATCAGATTAATCCCCTGATAGGGATTAATTGAGTTGTGAGTGTAGGTAGGTAGGTTGTGGCTGGAGGAGGACGGTCACTGGGGGTGTTCTTGGGGTATATATTGTATAAACTGAGCTTAGACCATCTCTTTACTTCTTGGTGCCATGTCCTCAGCTGCTTTCCTCAACCACACCATTCTGCCATGATGCTTTGCCATGATTTGGGCCCAGAGCAATGGAATTGGCCATCTTTGAACCAAGACTTCTGAAACTGTGAGCCCCCAAATAAACTTTTATTCTTCTAAAATTGTTCCAGTCAAGTCTTTTGGTCTCAGTTTTGAAAAAAGCTAAAACACAGCTTCCTAAATGTTTTCAGCCTAAAATATGTTCCAAAAGATCTACCTAATCTCTTTAAGTAAAGCAGATCTACTAGATGAGCACTACATTTTTGATATAAAACATAAGCACTCCTACCCATTGACATTTACAAAAGGCCAGAACTAAGGGTCACGGACAATCATGCCCTAAATAGTACATGTAATGTGTCCATTGCCAAAACTTGCCTAGGAAGTCAATGGTAAATTTCACTGGGTCAATTTTACAGACCAAGGAACATGAAGAAAGTTGTAGGATGTTGGAATCCATGGGATGCTTGTGATTACTGCAATCATTTTTATTCTGGTCTCTGAAGTTTGTCATATGACCAATGTACCCTAATAACTGAGCCACTGAGGGGGATATGGAAGTAGAATGCAGAAGCCTGGCATACCTGAACAGCCAATTCTTCCACTTTGCCCTGGTCTCTTCCAGGCTCCAAGAATCTCCTTCAGTCCCCAAAGATGATCCTCCCCACTATTATCCTACTTAAGCAAGTCAGTCCTTGACTTGGAGCTCTCCTCCTGTTTGTGCTCTCATTTTACTCTTGCAGTGTTTATCACTTCTGTCTCAAAATCCTCTTCCACTTTCTTTGCCTACAAGTCAGGGGGAGGCAGAACCTCTTGTCACCCTGTTTCTGAGTGGTGCAAGTATGCAAACAAGTACATGACCCATGAGGCACATGGTCACTGATGGACCAGTGATGATTATTATCACCATTATTATTTCTTTAAATTTTTTTTTAGTCATAGGTGAACACAATATCTTTATTTTTATGTGGTGCTAGGATTGAACCCAGTGCTTCACATGTGCTAGGCAAGTGCTCTACCAGAGTCACAACCCCAGCCCTCACCATTATTATTTCTTAGAGTAACTTCTGAAACTTGTTAAAGGAAAGAATGGTTTCTTCCATTTTTACTCCATTCAGTACTGCTCAATGCTCTGAGTACAAAAATATAAAGCAAACCTTGGTTTATGGAATTTTTCAGTAGTACTATAAAGGGGACTGAGAGCACTTTATAAAAATTACTTTGCAGCTATATCATAACATAGAAATGGGAAAGCCAGAAGCAGTCGAGAGGTATTCATTTAGATATCCATATCAAATTCAGAGCACAGAGCACTTCTTTCCTAAGCCAATTTATCCCCACCTGGGAGGCACTAGCAGGAATCTCTAGGCTGCAAGACCCAAGTCCATCCCCCACCCAACTTTCCTTTGTAGGGATATAAAGAGGCGCTTTGGCTGGATAAACTCTGAGAAACCACGTCACATAACTTTCTCAGATGTCTGTCCTTACAAGAAAGTGGCTGGAGGAATGATTTGCCCCTCAGCTAAGGAAGCAGAGGGAAAGTAGATCCAGTCCACTATGGAAGGTCAGATTTCCTTTACTCTGCAAGACCAGGGTTAGAATGGGAGAGTCCCGCAGACTGTAGGTCTCCTACATCTGACAGCAAGGTGACCAGAATTAATGATTCCTTCCCCACTGTGAGGTCTAAGGAGATCTCCTGGTAGTTGGCACCCAGATCCACCCTGCTGTCCCTCTCACCTGACGTGGCCTTGCACATCTGGGGCATCCTGGTGACCCTGCTGTGCGCCACAAAGGTGCTCTGGGAGGAGGTGCTGTACTGCGAGCCACTGTCGGAGGAGGTGGAGCTGGTGTGCGACAGGCGGCTGTGCTCCTTGTGCGAGGCTGTGGAGCGCTGGTACCACTGGCGCAGCTCATCCGACACGGCGGCCCGGCCCGCGCCCTTGTCGTGGGAGCCCTCGCGGCCCAGTGACGGAGTCCTTAAGATCTGCGAGCGCGACGGCGTCAGGCGGCCCGCGTCGCCCTCATCTCCGCCACCGCGCCAGCTCTCCTTGAACAGGCCACCAGCCGTGTAGGAGTTGGAGGTCTTAAATTGCGCCTTGACGCTGTAGTGGCCCTCCTGGTCGCTCTCCAGGCTGCGCACCACCACGGGCGTGGCGCTTCCCTCGATGTACAGTGGGTACTCCTTGATGCGGTACTGCGAGCTGGGCTGGCTCTGGCTGTGCAGGTACACGCCACCGCCCGCAGCCGCGCCCCCCGGCCCCGCAGCGCCACCGCGCGCGGCCAGGTTGGGCATGCTGCCCGAGCTCGCCGAGCCCAGCGCGCCCGCCGCCCGCTGCCGCTGCCGCTGGCGCGCCTTGGACGGCGAGTCCTCTGCCAGCGTCGAGTAGTTGGCATTCATCTGCGCCGGGTAGTAGTGCTCTGAGCTCGAGTGGCTGGGGCACGATGAACAGTCGTCCATGGGGTCTGAGCCATTGCTGCTACGAGTCCGCGGGGTGGCATAGAAGTCGGGGCTCCCCGTGTCGTTCTCCGAGCCCAGGAGCTTGCCCTGGGACTCCAAGCTGGAGCTCCGGTGCCTAAAGTGCAATGCGAGGCTGTGCAGTCGCGTGGGGCTGATGTCCACGGACCTGCAGGGAGACGCGGGCTTGGTCTGGGAGTCTCTAGAGGAAAGGGTGCCAAGGAGGCCGCTCCACTCATTGTACTTAGGAGGCACAGAGCATACGCAGGCTCAGAGGGCCCAGCAAAGGGAGTCTAGGAAATTGGGATTACCTAGGCAGGGTTGCCCTAGAAATCCACGTACTTCTCCAGTTTGCACCTGAATAAGGAACTGCTGATACCGGGAGGTGGGGCCAGGAATCAGCTTTGAATTCCCAGTGGGAGGTGGGACTGCCCTAGGACTCACACAAGGGCTTCCTCCAACGTTCTGAGCTTTAAAACATTTTTATTTTTTAAAGGTCGGAAGGGATTCTGTAGATACAGGCAATACCAAAGAATCACTATTTTAAGTATTATGTTGAACTCTATAAACCCTCTTGTTGGTTTAAAAAAAAAAAAAGTCCAACAGAAGCCCTTTCATGTGGTTTAACCAAATGTTACCATGAAACTCACATGAATGGATATTCATTTCCTGTGAAGATGCTAAAGTGGAGGATCCATGGAACACCAAAACCCTTAAAAATGTAAGATGCAAATTATACTATTACTTTGTCTATGATTCATTCTGCTTATTTGAGTTCACACTATAATTATCCATCAGTATCACTGGGCAAATGATGGGATTTACAGGTGAAATTTCACCTTGGCCATGTACAGGCAGAGGTGAGCTCTTGTTCTGTCACTAGGGTAGAACTGGAAGTCTCCACCAAGTGGCTTTTCCACAGTTTTTAGAAAATGAATGTGTGATTCATGAAAGCCTAATTTTTGCCTGTTTCTTTTGCTCTTCACAAATTTACATTTTGAGGCCTTAAAGGAAGTACCAAATAAATTTAGGGCTTGGCAAAAAGATACATGAGGATTATCAAATGAAGAACTTCCATCAGTACACAGTTGTTCTGGTCCCTGCTCTTCCTAGGCCACCCTGGCTATCCTGTCCTTCCTCTGCTTCCACTGATAAAGCTCAGTCCTCCTTGACTGTCTCCAGGAGCCTGGGGACTCTCCAGTAGTCTCCACATGTTAGCGTGTGGACAATGGGCTCTAACTTCAGTTACACTAAAGTAAGCTCACTGCTGCCAGCTGTTTATTCTGCTTCATTTAGAGAGAACCTGCCTAACCGTTTCAGGCCTTATTCTACCTCACCTGGCATTTGGGCTAATTGGGCCAGGGATGCTTTATTGTACGAAGGAAGGGCTGGTCCAGGAAGGTGAGTGGACTGAAAGCCCAATGGACTCACCTTGTGGAATGGACGTAGTGGGGGCTTCGGACACGCAGGTCTGGTGTGGATGGCATGCTAGACTGGGAGTTCCAGTGCGGGAGGCCGCGGATAGGACTGTTCTGTAAGGAGCTGCTTCCTCCTCCTGCTTCAGCGCAGCTTCCTGTGCTGGGGAAGCGCTTGTGGCTACTGAAAAACAAAGGAAGCCATGCTGACCCTTCCAGACTGCAGCACCTTTCCCCAGCAGTCTTAACTAGCTTGGGACATGGATCTTGGTGTGGGGAGAGTTTGCCAGGGCTCCCGGGCTTGCTCCTAAAGGTCTCTACTGTGGTCTTCAGCCTTTCCTCAAGCAGTGGGTGGGGGGCCTTGTCCCTGCTCCCCACACCTGCAGGCAATGTGAAATGAACACTCTCCTTCACCTTCTCTGTAATAGGTATAGTGTGACAATTCTGTCAAGCCCCTCTCCTTATGGTTTTGGTTTTCCAAGAGACAATTACCTGTCGGGGCACCCACTTGGAGCTTTATAGGGTGTAATTAAGGGAAATGAGAAAAACAGAGAAGTGGACCAAAAATGCCTTCCAAAAATGAAAAAAAAAAAACCCTCTTTACAATATTAGCCAAGTAATGAGCTGATAATATTCAGCTCAGATTACAGCTGTTTGGCTCCAGAATTCTGTTGGAAGGTGGTTTAGGGTTCTGAACCACTTTGGGATTCCTATGAGTGGTCTCTCATTTGCCATTTTTTTTTTTTTTTTTGGAAGAGTGCTGCCTAAGATTTCCTAATTAATTCCTGTGGAATTTAACAACATTAGAGCCATCTGCCAACACATTGAGCTTGAGCCAAACCCTTTGGATAACATATCTGCACCTCAGGAGGGTCAGCAGCAGAGGGCGCTGTGAGAATAGCAAACCCTGGAAGGAGGAACTAGGTTGTGTTTTGGGATTTGTGGGTGCTATTTGGAATAGCCCTTGGATTCTCTCCAGATGTGGACAGTGACTTCATTTTTGGGTTTCACTACCCGACTCACCTAGAATGACCGTGAGAAGAGCGTTTCTTGACCTTCTCATAAGGCTCATCCAAAGAGGACTCACTCCACATTTTGGGCTTTATGGGTGACTTGTCATAGTCGTTGCGGTGATAGTGCATCTGCCTGAGTCCCTCCAGGGACTGGGGAGGAGGAGGCCTGTTGTGCGATGGTGGCCGAGGAGGAAGTCCCTTGTGAGGAGACTGTAAGGGGGATATTGTGCTGGTGACCTGAGAGTCTTCTGCACAGAGAAAAGACAGAGGAACTGAGCATGGATCATCCCTTCCACAAACTCTGAACCAGAGCCGGTACCCCAATGCCACCCACATCAGCACCTGGGAGGCGCACAAGCAAATAACACCTTTGATTCTCCCAGGCTGGCCTCATCATTCTCCCCTAGTTTCCAAGACAAGGAGGCCAAGTCAAGCCAAACCAGAGTCAACCAAGCCTAAACTTCAAACAAAATTAAATGGGAAGAGAGGTGTCATTTTTATTAGTCACGAATAAAGTCTGAATTTTATTCAAGACCATTAACAGATGTTTGCTTTATACCAAACAGCATAATGCAGTTATCACTTATTATATTGCAACTTTTTCTCTCTTTTTTTTTTGGTATTAGGGATCAAACCCAGGGCTTACACAATTGCTAGGCATGTGCTGTACTACTGAGCTAAATCCTGGGACATGTTACTTTTCTTTCACAAGACATTAAGTGTCTGATAGGCTTTGAAGCAATTTGAGCTCCATGAAAATTTTGTTGGCTCTATTCACTGCTAAGTCCTTAGGGCCATGAATGACAGCTGACACACAGTAAGTGCTCAATAAGCAGTTATTGGAGATTTAAAAATGAATGTAAATATATCTATCAAGTGTAATTATATACTGTGGATCTGGGTATCTACTCTCTGCTTTTTATGCCCCCTGAATTACCTATATTCTCTTTTAATTTGTTCTGAGGAAACTGGTGGTGGTGGGGGGGAGTTAAACCCACAGATGTTCTACCATTGAACTACATCCCTAGTGTTTTCTGATTTTTACTTTGAGACATTATCTTGCTAAGTTGCCCAGGCTGGCCTTGAACATATGATCTTCTTGCCTCAGCCTCTCAAGTAGCTGGAATCACAGGTGTGCACCACTGTACCTGGTATGTTCTGATTACTTTGAATGTTGGAACTGCTTTGAATTTTCTTGGAAGGGGAGGGGATAAATTTTTCCCAGCCTTCAGGGAGTAATAACACTGTGCTAGAAGAGTTTTGGAGAATGCAGATATGGTTGGGGAGGAACTGCTGGAAGGGAACCGGGCAGTGGACAGGTGGTAGACGGACAGAGGAGGAAGGAAAGAACTTGAGCTAAGGCGTGGGTGCAAGCACAGTGGGTGCGAGCAGCAGGGGCCACCCAGGGGCAGCAGCAACTGGTGAGAAGAGCAAAGGGAGCAAGGGAGGCAATCTTGGAGGTATAACAGACCCACTGTGTGAATATACTCACTGTGGACACACCACAATGAGCATCGAGCCCGGCTGTGGGGGCCTTGAGTTTCAAAGGTGCTGGGATTTGGTCTGCAAGCCACCAGAAACCTTTTCCACATCTTGAGCACAGATGTGTCAGGATGAAGATACTACTTTAGAACTATTCACCTGGCAGGTTCGGCCTCAGAAAAGGCAGGATGAGGGACTTGGAAGGACCACTGAAGAGGTCTGGTGATGAGAACCTGGGGCAGGGTGGCATTGAGAGGGGAGGGGAGGAGCTGCTCGGCGGTTGCTGGGAAGGGAGGGGAACTGGAGGGGGAACCCCAGCAACCTTTTGTGTACCCCTTACATCCACTTTGAACTATTCATCTTTTTATAGCTTAATTCTCAACCTCTCAACCTTGAAGCCTGGATGTCTGTGATGTTTCCATTCTTTCTATGTCCCTCCATTCAGAGCAGGAAGAGTCCCTAGAAAGGAAGAGCCTGCAATGGGAGCAGGAGGAAGCAAGGGAGGCAATGACACCCCTCAGGAAGTCCAAAGTTCTGAGACATGGGGAAGAAACTATAATCATAGATGATATCTCCGAATTTTTCTAGCAACATTATCTATTGCTCTGGCAATATTACAAATTACAATATTACAATATAACAAAGGGTTTTCACTAACTCACTCTTGCTCCCTCCCCAGGAGTTTCTGTATATCAGGGATCAACAACAGGACTGGGGTCTCTGATATTCAAAACAAGCCTCCCTGCTCCCTAAGAGCCCTGTGTCCTCCACACCCATATAATGAAGCAGACAATAAAAATATTATAATCTGATTCCTAATAGCAGGGCCAAGACAACTGGGTAAATAACTCACCAGACTCTCCCCACATCAAGAGCCATCATTATTATTATTGCAATTATCATTATTACTACCACTGGGTAGGCCTTTTATGTTTTCCATCTGAATAGCCACTTATCACTGCCTGCCTGAGGTTTTCCTAAAGGGTAAGAGAATTAACTGCCACTTAATATATTTCCATATAATTAATGCCCTTGCCTTCCAACATTTTGGTCTTAAATCCTCAAGAACATTCTCAGACATGGTCCTGTGTTTGGATTTCTTATTTCCAATGGAGATGGTGGTGGTGGTGGTGGTGGTGGTGGTGTAGGTTTGGGGATACAGTTCTGTTTTTCTAAGAATTGTCCAAGGAAATGTCCTGGTAACCACCAGGATTGAACAGTTCCATGGGAAATAATGAGGCAACTTGCAAGGTTGGCCAGGGGTCTGAAGGAGAATCAGGCCTCTGATTTTTACTATGGTCTCAGGAAGAGACAGAAGTTTGGTTTATTCTTTCCTATTAGCCCCAGATTTTCCCTGTGGGGTCACCCTCTAATTTGTGCTCCAACTCAATCTCCTCCATATATTATGAACATTCAAAAAGAAACTAGGCACAGGTTGTAGATTCTGTTTAGTTAAAAATGTGGTTTTGGCTGCTACAAAAGTGAAGCATCATTCGCTGAATATCACCTCAAATCTTAGGTCTGGGCCCCCGGAAATACTAAAATTCCAATAAACGTGTTTATGTAGCACCTTCGAGTCCCGACCAAATAGTGACTATCAAATGAGACAACTTGCAGGGAATCTGGCTGCCACCTCCACCTGGCAAAAGCCTCTATACAAGGCTGTGCCCACATGCATACACATTAATCCCAGCTTAATCTGCGATCCACCTTTTAAGGCAGGAAACAGAAAACCTACCGTCTTCAAGAACAAGGGCATCAGAGAGGGAGCTATCTTCACTGGCAATGTTTCCATCTGCAAGACAAAATAACAAAAGTCTATGATGTTAGCACATTCCCGAAACAAAGCCCTATCTGTAGGAGCAGAGTGTTTGCCACCCCCATATCCTCTTTCTAATCTGAAAGGACATGTACAATGTAATAAAAATGCTGTCGAGCATTTCTTTTGATAATTCCCATGGTGGGTCAATAGCTTATCCTCCCCACCCCTGACAATGCAATGTACTTCTATCTTTGTGTATTTTTGCTCTTGTTCCCGGAATACTGTGGTGCAGAGCAGCTTAATATCTAATACAAAGGCTGCCCAGCCTGGTTAAGCCACATCATTGTCCCAGCACAAACGCAGGGCATGTACTGACTAAACCAAAGGAAGTCAACTGCTATTTATTCCACAAATGTGAAACTAGGGTAGGAAACTTAACTTTGCTCGCATGGCAATAAATGGCTTCTCAATAAACTCCTGAAGTCATTAGCAAAGAAAACAAGCATGCTAAATACAGACTCCATCTCTCTAGACACCATTCAATTAAGAACACACCCAAGAGGGAGACAGTAAAATAATCCTCTCTCTTTCACCACTGGGGAAACTGAGGTGTACCCAGGAAGGGGGGAGGGGTTTGTCTGAAGTTTCTCTGATCTCCTGGCAAAGTGAGACCTCTCCCAGGTCTTCAGATTTCAAGTTTAGTGTTTTATCTCTTGAAATAAAAAAAAAAAAAAAAACAAGCTATGCAGAACCGTATTTATGCCTAACTTAAGTGGGCCTTTGTGATGAGGGCCTAATTTCAACACACAAAAAGTAGATTCCCGAGCAATTAAAAAAAGAAAAAAAAAAGCATGGAGTATAGCTTAGTGGTAGAGCCATTTCCTAGCATGCGCCAAGGCTTGGATTCAGTCCTCAGCACTAGGGAAATTATCTTGCTAGAAGCAAGAAATTATCTTGCTAGGTGCCCATGGAATGTACCTATACATCCAGCAACTTGGGAGGCTGAGACAGGAGGATCGCAAATTCTAGGCCAACCTGAACAAGTCAGTGAGACACGTTCTCAAAATAATATAAAAAACTGAAAGGACCAGGGTTATAGTCCAGTGGCAGAATATGCCTGAGTTTAATCCTCAGTACTTGGGGGGGGGGGTGAAAAAACAAAACAAAACAAAACCCAAAGCTGAGGTGTGGACAGAAGGATACAGGAGTTGGCACAGATAATGATTTAAAAAGCAATTCTGTCAGCAGAACCAACAGAATAGCCCTCATTCAGGCAGACCTAAGAGTAGGCTTTCCTGTGGCCACCCAGCAAGATGGTCATTCCTGAACTGCCCTACCCAGTTGGGGCTCTGGATGCTTCTGTTGAGTTGGAACACCCCAAGTGCCTTCAGGGAGGCAGAAGGAAGTCTCAAAGGAAGCCTGAAATAGAGAAGGGCTGGCGAATTGCAGCTCTGTTGGGAGCAGGGAGTTACATGGTCCTGGCCAAGGAAGCAGGGTAAGGTAGAGAAGGATGGGCATTTCGAGATTCCCAGGGCAGAAAGAGTTCTTATAGCCAGCTCCTCCCTCCTCTCCCACTGGGAAGTCATTGTTTTCATATTCTTTGACAGATGTGAACAGCTAGGACTTTGGCCTTCTGTCATCTCAAGTATATCACTGCTTCCCGAGTAAGTCCACGGTTTTAGGTTGAAGATATATATATATATATATATATATATATTTGTGGTAAAATGTAAGTTGCATTGGATTCACCATTTTAATTGTTCAGTAAGTGGCATTAAGTGCATTCACACTGTTGTGTGACATCACTGCCAGTCATCTTCTGATTGGGTAACATTTTAATTCTCCAAACTGAAACACAGTACCCATTAAGTTACTGCTTAACTCCTCCTTCCCCTCAGCTCCTGGGAGCCTCTATTCTTCTTTCTAGAACCCGAAGTACTGCATTATTATTATTATTATTATTTATTTTTTTTAAAATTTTTATTTTTTGGTACTGGGGATTGAACTCAGAGGCACTTAACCACCGAGCCACACCCCCCCAACCAGTTTTCGTATTTTACTTAGAGAAAGGGCCTCACCAAGTTTCATATTCATCTGTCAAAGAATACGAAAACAATGACTTCCTAGTAGGAGAGGAAGGAGGTGCTGGCTGTAAGAACTCTTTCTGCCCTAGGAATTTAGAAATGCCCATTCTTCCCTACCTTACCCTGCTTCCTTGGCCAGGACCATGTTAACTTCCCGCTCCCAATAGGGCTGCCGTTAGTCAGCCCTTCTCTGTCTCAGACTTCCTTTGAGACTTCCTTCTGCCCCCTTGAAGGCACTTGGGGGTGTTACAGCTCAACTAAGTTGCTGAGGCTGGCTTTGAATTCACCATCCTCCTGCCTCAGCCTCCCCAGCCACTGGGATTACAGGTATGAGCCACTGTGCCTGGAAGCAGAAGTATTTTAAACATACATACACTAAGAAAGACTATTTAACATACATTTTTAAAAATTTGCTGATTTTTTTTTTTTTTAAAGAACTGTTACAGCTAGGGAGACTTGATGTTTGTTGATGGGTTTTTCTGGGTATTTTGTTTTAGAATTTACCAAACATTGTCACCTAAACTCCCAATCCTGATTGGACTTCAAGGCAATCTGAGGGGACAAGTCCAGTCCTCCCAAATCATAGCTCTTTTGATAGCAACAGAATCAGCTTGATGGGGGCAAAGAATTGGAAGGGGGAGGTGGTCTGCAGGGCCTGGTTGAATATAGGAGACCCTGCTGCTGGGTACAGCCCATCCACCTTGCCTTTCACACTTGGGGAAGGTGATCAGGTCCCTCAGAATGGCAGAGCCTGAGCTAGCTCTAGGCTAGGTTGGACTAGCACAGTCAACTGGACTCAGCTCCTGCTGAGGGCTGCAATGTTGCCTTATGGCTGCAGTGTTGCCTTATGGAGCCATCAATAGTTGGGAATGAGGCTGCTTGTACAATGCTGTTCATCTGTGGAGCTAGATGTACTTGTTCACAGTGACTTGGTGTCACATCATTTCACAGGTGGACAATAAGGCACAGGATGGCTAAGCAGCCACTTAGGCCATGCAGGGAGCTGAGCCTAGGACCATGAGCAGATCTGCTGTCTGGTTCAGAGAGGCCTAGTGTGGGAGTGGGGCAGGGGCAACCTGGATGGCACTGACCGTCTATGACCAGCGAAGCCCTCTGGGTGGGTTTTTTCCCAGACTTGATGCGGTTCTCATTGATTGCATTTTCAATCTCCTGCAGCTTCTTCAGTGCATTCAGATAAGAGGTTTTTCTTTGTTTCTTCAGTTTTTTGCTGACATTGGGGTCACTGGCAAGGCGGCGGGCAGCTTCCGTAATCTGGGACTGAATTGCAAACTCTCGTTCCAGTCGTTCCAACTCGGCTTCCTGTGGGAGGGAAAGCTGTGGTTGACACTTGTTGGAGATGCTGAGCAGAGAGCCACCCATCCTCCCCATCCCTTGCCCAGGACCCCCCCGGCAAGGCTTGCTTGGTTTTATTTCACTGCCTCCAATAAGGTTCATGAACAGCAAGCCTTTGTGTCTATCTGGCTATCATTTCCTTCCCATTGGGGGCATAGGATGCAGCATTATTTCTAGAATCTTCCATGATTCTTCTCAGGTTTGCTTATATTGGTGCATCTCTTCCACTCACCCACATGTGCCTCTGTCTCACATATTTGTGCCTCACCCAAGTTGGGACAAACCCCACTCACCTATGTATTTGTAAACCCCTGCTGTCCCTCTCAGACCTATCTATTCATGGAAGCCCTGCTCAGGCTATGACATGACCCTCCATGAGGCACAGACAGTGAGTGATGGCGGAGCGAGTTTCCCCCCAGCTCCTTGGATGAGTTTCAGGGGTCTCCTCCTTCCTTCCCTCTTGGTTGGCTCCTTCCCACCTCTATCTCTTTCCCCCCAGAGTTCTAGTCCTGGGAGAAATGAAGTCCTGCATGTCAGATATAGCTGGAGGACCCAAACATGCTGTTCCCTGGATGGAGTGTTTGCTGCTGGCCTCTCTGGACAAGTCATCTTCTCTGCTGATGTACGTACACCAGCTGCTGAGGGAACAGGGAGGAGGCTGCTCATACATGTATTGAGAGCATTTGGGGGTGATGCACAATCCCTCCCAAAGTGTCAGTTTGTCTGTTTTTCTATTTCCCCTCTTTCCCAGTGAATCCCCTTCAACCAAAGCTAGCTCTAAGCAGCACATGTTCAGGCTCAGATCTGGAACTGTGGGCTGCTTGCTGTCTCACTGGTCCAGGGTCCAGCAACCTGGGCAGTACTCAAGCCTGCAAGAGAGGTGGGGTGAACTCTCTGACCCCATAGCTTATAAAACCCATGACCAAGGCCTCAGTGGCTCCTCCCAATACCCACAAGTGGCCAGGAAAGACCACGAATCTTGCCATAGGCAATCTGCAAAGTCTGACAAGAACTGATCTAACCAAGTAGGAGGAGATGGCCATGTTTGCTGGAATCAACAGATTTTTCTATTGCTTCTGGGAAAAATGTGCCAGGCTGGAGGCCTCACCAAAGACAACATTCCTCCTCTGATTTCATTTACTTTTGAGCACTGAAGCCTCAAGGGAGCAGGAACCAGGAGTAAGAGGAAAAGGTGAAGGCCAAATGGAACTATTTAGGGGATAATAAACTCCTTCCAGAGCTGGCTGGGAGGATATAGACATGGACTCCTGCCCGGGGCCTTGAAATGGGGACAAAGACCATTCTGTGACATTGGGCTCCACCAAGCAGCTGTTCCCAGGTGGTTACAATAGTCCTGGCCCAAGACACTGACCCTGAGTTTTGTGGGAGTCCAGGACAAATTTCAATACTAAGACAAGTACAAGGCTGCACGCCCACTCTGTGCAAATGGTTACATGAACAGGAAAGCAGGACACATTTCCAGGAGAAACTGAAGCAGTGAGAGCCAAGAGAGGTCTCTTCCTTCCCAGGGTAACTTTCCAGAGTTATCCTTTTATGCACTTAGGAAAGACAGTGGGCAGGGACAGGTAAGGGAGATGTGAGGCACATGGAGTTCTCAGGGCACAGAAGTCAGCTTCCACTGACAAGCAGAAACCACAGTGGAACCACAGGATGCCCAATGGGGTATAGAGCATTCACTAAAAATGGCGGTACTTTTTAAAGTTTAAGTGCCAGGTATCTGCTCTGTACCAAGGGGAGGTGAAGTTCTTGAGGCAAGTCTAAAGACCACTAGAACTTAAAATACACCTGGTCAGATGGCCTCCTAAGTGACACCTTTCCTCTGGCATTTCATCTCTATTTTGATCAACTGATTTTGGATGAGCATCAAGCAGACATTTGAGTACTCAGTGCCATGTTTTTCATATACGATCTCATTTAATCCTAGTAATAACCCAAGGATTTCGGCATCATGAATGTCATTTCACAGAAAAGGGAAGAGGCCTGGGTGAGTTTTCATTCTAGATGAAGCACTCAGGTGTGTGCACCAGGTCTCCCAGGGATCTGAAACTGCAAGTCTCAGGAGTGTCTTCAACATTGGCACCAGGGCACTTGGTCCCTCTCAGGGTTATATTCAGGAAGACACTTCCTGAACATGATCCTGAGCCTTGAAGGTAAAACCTGGCTTTTCACTTCTCTTGGACTGAACCTAGATACTTACTGGCTACTTTTTTAATTTCATTATTTGTTTTCTCCCTAATTCTGAATTCTCCACCCCTGCCTCCATCAGTGTTCAGCTCCAAGAGGATAAAAATCTGTACTGAAATGAGGCTTCTCCAAACACAGGCAAGTGAGGCCAGGGCAGGGCAAGCAACTTGTTCATGTTTTTGTGGGGATTTTTGCAACCAAGCGAATTAGGGTCACATGAAGCATGCCCTCATTGCTCTTCCCTGGCTCATGAACTCCTTGCAATAGTAGACACTGCCTGTTTCCCTTCCTCTTTGGTGTTTTCTTCCACAGAGCACATGAGGCATGGCTCTGAGCAACAAAAGGCTGGGAGAACATTGAAAAGACAAGTATACATGAATGTATACTTGTTTGAGCCACTTTCAAAAGGTCTATAGTGTTCAGCAAACAACTTTAACAGAAATCCGATGTTTAAAGGCAAGCAAATTCATCCTGCCTCAGGAAGCCACATAGCCACTAACCAGCTCACCCAAGGTAAAAGGGAAGATGCTGGCCTTGGATAGCAATGAATTAAACAGTTACTGAGAACCTGGGAGCCCCTGGCTACTGGGAAAAATAAGACCAACACCAGCAAGGAAGAACACACCTCTCCTTTGGGCAGGACTTTCTGTTCATCCAACTTGAAGGCTGTGCCAATCCTTCTTCGAACAATGGGTGGTTCCTCCCCTGGATCCAGGGGATATTCAACTGGCAGCTTGCCGGTGAGCTCCTGCATATGTGAAATGGCATGTGGAGTGATTAGAAGCCAGAGTGGAGCACAGGCTTGTTTCCTTTCCAGGACACGCACACACATGCACACACTGCAACGCACAGATCACAAACATGAGCATTAAGCACTATGCCAAACAAGAGCTCATGAGATGAAATTCCATCTCTTTGAATGTCTTTGTGAGTCCTCCTTCCTTTACAGAATAGATGCACTTTGTGAAGTTTTTTTTCCCCCAAATCAATTTCTGTCAAGTAAACAAAAGTTCTATTGACTTTTGAAATGTTCTAATTTCATTAATTTGCTGATCTCATGAGCATCTTCTACGATACTCTTCTACTCTAAGCCCTGTGTTCCTTCCACTGTGTCAAACATTTCCTTTTAGATCTAAGTTTAAAATTTCTTTCAAATGAGTTGTTGTTGTTGTTGTTTCTTTTTAAAAGAGGAACAGTATCTATATAGATCTATATAGAAAATTCCAGAAAAGTGCATTATTACATAATTTAAAGGCTAACCTTGAAGAATAATTATTCTACTCAGGCCAGATACTCAAGAAACAGGCTAAGACACTAACCTGTATTCCATTAAGAGTTTTAGTAGAAATTGAAAATCTAAACTATTTTATTAGGCTACTAACTGAATCTATTGTGTATGTATTTTGGGCTTTGGAAATCTAACTATTGTGGGTACAATGACAGTGAATTTAGTTACCAGTCCCTCATAGTGACAGGGATCCTGGGTCAAGGCTGGGGGTCTGAGGCACAGTTCGGGATTAGAATTAGGCTCTGTTAGTGTGCTACACCTGGGCTGAATAGAGATCAGCTGGAGTCAGCAATGGACCCATGCAATGGAGGCTAGGCAGAAGCTTTAAGAAGTCACTTCCAGAGATTGGAGAAGGCTGGGAGAACCACTGCATTCCTTTGATGGCAAAATGGGCACATCCAGGCAAAGCCCAGCTCTGGCTTTGCAGCCCCAAATCAATGTAGATGCTGCACAAAGGCTCAGGGTGCTGCTTGGATAAAGAGGAGCCCAGAAGTGACTTCTCAGAACCCCTATCACCCACACAAATAGCTTTTTGTGCTCAGGAGCCTAGGCCTGATGGTCCAATGGCGGGAAAACCCAAATCCACCCCCAGACTCTTTCTTCCTCATTGTAAGCATTTTGGAGCACAGTGGCGACCATTTGAGTATGAACCACTGTGCAACAATCTCCCCTGTTCTTTTCTTTCTTTTTACAAAATGTGGTTCAAATATCTCCCAAGTAGTTATGTGTTTATTCAGCAACATTTTTCATCTGTTACCCTCAAAGTCTGCCTATAAATAATACAACCTTCTGCAGGATTTATATTGTTAGGACTTTCTTCTTAGTACCTTGAAATTTACAAAAGGGAGGGGGAGGTTGTTAACATTGCCATGGATTTATAACTCTAAAGTGTTTGTGGTTTTAAAATATATTTTAAAAATGAGGCTACTGATTTCTCACCATCTGCTTGAAGGTACAGGACTCAAGGTCTTGATTCTCCAGATATTTAATCTCATTTCGTCCGTAACCAGAGCCGCATGGCAGAGCAGTAATTTAAGGCACTGCTATGGGGCCTCGGCTTGGTTCCTTTCTTTATATTCTGCCAAAAGCTCCCGGTCTACTTCACTCTGGCTGCCCTGCTCCTGAGGGTCAAACAGTTCCTCCCTAGTCTTGAGCTGAGGGGGAGCCCTGTGTGAGTCCAGGAACCCAGCAGGAAACCCCAAGCCCTTTGTTACAGATGCATCAAGAGACTGGTGTGGTGGCTGAAGGAACAGACACTGACTTCTTGTTGGGTCCTTTCTTCTGCTTGAGTTCTGTTTTTTTTTTTTTTTTAAACAAAAACATAAAAAGCGGAAGCTTTGTTTTCCTTATTTTGCTTGTTTTTTTTTTTTTTAGAAGAAACAGTGAGACCTTAATAGCTCAAGAACCTCGCCCTGACACTTTCTTACATTTTTGAATGTGGACTCCCTGCTGGGCTGAGGGATTTTTCCTTTTTAAAAAAGTTTTGTTTTTTTAAAAACAAAACAAGACTTTACAAATTATTGAAGGCAGACACCAAAGACCATATTTTTCAATCTTTCAAGCATATTCTTTATAAAAATGTTGCTAATATTAACAGTATCACATAGCACATTCCCCCAATGAGGCCAAGTGCTTTCCTAAGATTTGCAATGGATTTGTGCTAATGTGGTTCTGCTTTGAGCAGGCTCCGGTTTAAATCAATCCAGACCATAATTAAGCCAAGTTGAAGTGTAATGTGATCTCACTCTGTGGCCCTTGTTTCATTCTTCCTGCTGCAAAGCATTATTATTTGGGGGAGGGGAACACTAAGTCTCTCAGACTTCATTTGGGAGCCTCTTTTATACTTCCTGTTCTGAACTGTTTACCAACAGAGCTCTTTGTCAAGTTATGTGGAGCACAAGCAGCCCCCACACTGTGTCCACGTACAAGCCTTTGCACACACACGTGCCCAGCAATGTGTATTATCCTCAAAAATGAGCTCTCAAACCCTGCTAGCAGAGAGTCATGACTAACAATCTTTACCATCTCTTAAGGTAGAGATGGACACTTCAACAAACACAGAAGTGGCCTGCAAGAGACTATAGGCTTCTGAAAATTGAGACTAGCATAGATACAGGTTTGAGGGGACATTGCTTTACATAGGATTTAAACATATCACTAGACTAAAATTTGATTATTATTATTAATTTTTAAATAAAAGAGTTAAAGAAACAGCAGATCATGGGGTTTCAAGAGGACTACTGAACATCTGAAGGGACATCCTGGTTTCCCTGTTGACCCCCAATGATGTTTCATGATGTCCAAAGACAAACTGAAATATCCTCAAGGGAAGCATAACGTGCCTGGATAATAAATCCAAGCACAACCTTTTGGGAAGGTGGTGACAAGTCATTCTATTCAATAAGGTAATGTCACATAAGGAAGCGCTTTATAAACTGAGGTGTACCAGGCGTGGATAAGGGACTATTAGCATGACTTTCCACTTGGCCCCTGGTAGGGTCAGTCAACACCAACCTGACCTGCTGACGGTGTCCCCTGCACATGCTCCAGCTGTTTCTGACAAAGCTCATCATGGGGGTGTGGATGTTTTTAACCTTTGCAAGAACCCTCCCTGGGAGGCACTCTGCATGGTCCCCACCCTTGCCTTTTGTCCATACTTAGGAGCAGCAATGTCCCAGACAACACAGATTTAACTCTTACAGCTTCCCGGAGACACAGCCTCTTCAGTTCCTCCAGCCTCTGGCGCAGGGTTTCCTCCAGAGCCTCCTGCCTGGATTTCAAGGCGGCCAGCATGTCCTTCTTGGCTGACTGAGAGCTATCTGATTCCTGGGAACCTGTTAATAAACAGCAGGGTTACTGGGGCAGCCAACAGGGGGACACACATCTGGACTACTAATGAATTTAACTGGAGCCCATGCCGTGGATATGGGATTTACCCCAGGAATCAGAGGAGTCGGAAATAAAACAGGTGCTTGGAGTTTTCCACGTCTCAGGAGTAGATACCAGCAATGCATGGAATATATAGAACTCAGAGGCCTGCCAGGAAAGTCAACTCCATGAAAAAGAAGTCTGTCTTTCTCAATTATCTTGAGATAGCTCACACACCTGTTTTAATCTTACTAGCAAATTTTAATACACTTTGCACAATGAAGGGGGAAAGTAAAGTTTAAGTCATTACTTTTATGTTTAAAATTTTCTTTTGTTCACTTAAAAACGCTGATTTTAATTTGTTGTTATTTATTTACTTTTGGCTTAGTGTGATAATCATTCCTATTTATCACAAAAATTTTGAAAATGTGGACAGGTATAAAAAATAGCCAGTAAGCTAATCAGCCAGAGATTAAACACTGTTATGCATTCTCTTTTGACCTTTTTTTAAAGCACATATATCTAAAAAATAAAACTAAAATTTTATCTTTATTTTTTAACTTAATACTGTATCATGAGCAAATTCCTTCCTAATAGAAATTATACATATTTTTACAAGCTTTCCTGGATGAAGTAGCTGTGTGATGATTCAAAGAGCAGGCTGCTAGATACGAAACCTTTATAGAAGGCAAACTGTGAACCAAACAAAAGGAAAATAAGTTAAAATGCCAACCAGAGAATTTAGTTAGACCAAAAAAATAATTTCTGGGCTACAATGTTTGGGTCCTGAAATTGGTTTCCTGCAGTGAAAATATTAGACCTTTTCTACTTTGGAAAAGAATAAACTGATGAATATTCTTCCTCTTCTGCCCATGGTGAGCAGAACTATTAGAAATGGGCTCGTGTCATTGGGTATGAATTTAACGGTTCAGATCATGCTTTTGACAATAGCATCCAACTACCTCAAATGCTTAGACATTAACCTAATAAAAGATGAGAGACACCTCTCAAGTGAAAATTATAATACACTACTGGGAAAAAAATGGAGACCTAAATAAATATATATATATTGTGGTCATAGATTAGAAGGTTGACATTTTAAAGATGTCAATTTGTCATGAACTAAAAAAATATAATCAATGCAATCCCAGCAGGATTTGGAGTGGGGGAGTAGGAATTATATGTCCATAGGAAACAACAGAATTTTTGGATAGTTCAGTGACCAGATGACAGATTTGAGATGGTCCAATCAGAATTTCCAGAATTAATGACTGCTTTGGTTTGGTTTCTTCCAATGTTAAAATAAGGAGGTGCAGAATCCTAAGGCTAGGAAGGACTTCTATGCTTTTGCATTAAATAGCATTGCTAATCAAACCATTCCCCTAAAATATACTAACTCTTTTAAATAAAAGTCCCTGTGTAAGAGACTCATCCATATTCCCCCAATTAAACACGCTTCTAGACTCTTGCATTCCTAAGAATGAAGAACACTCAATGTCTAAGTATATTTTGACTCTAACCTGCTATTATTGTCCTTTTCCTTCTCCCAGCCCTTTTGAGCTTGAAATTGAGAAGATCTATCACTACAGCTGTTGCTATATAAAGATATATCCCATCTTTATTGCTAAACAAAAGCAAATAAATATGTTTGAATGAATAAGCAAATAAACATTGTCTACCATATACTTGGGTGCTATACTTAAATTGTGACCCATTTTAGTTAAAAAAAAAAAAAAAAAGAAAAGAAAGAGTGCCAGTAAGTTGTCCCTTTAGTGAAGCTTCTTTCCAAGCTTTGAATTACCTTTGTACCCCACTCCTGGATTTTGACATGCTTCAGTTGCACGTTCCCACAGTCAATAGCAAACTCAAGCAAAAGCTGATCCTCTCTGAGTGAGGCTCCATTACCTCATGGTTCCCAGCCACTAAATCCACATGGTGTCACGCTCATGTAACCCCTCACTGGATACTATTGCAGTCTCCCTGTTTGAAATGGGTCTGTTTTTCTACCTTCATAAGTCAACTGGCCTGTGCTTATCAGCACTAAACTCTCTCCAGTCTACGTCCACCTAAAGCAACAGGCCTAAATCATTATAAATCTTAATCTGGTTCTCTCAGTAAGAGTCACCAATCCCATCTGAAGACACAGGAAGATTTAATGAGGTACTCTCTGTTCTATCATCTAAAAAAAATATTAAGAATGTAAAATAATACTGGGAAGGAAGTCAGATTTCAAATTTAAAAAACAGGCCTGGGGAAACTTGGGTCCAAGAAGATTAAAGGATTTCTAGCTCAAGTGAAAAATTCATTGTTTTCCCTTTCACCCCTGCCTCACCTCTCAATAGGAAATGATGATTTATTAAGTCAAATCTAAGAATTAACTGTGTTCAAGAATGGCAAAAATCGTAACAACATTAAACTCTGGGAAGGAAAGCACACAAATTTTGGATGATTGGGTTTCTAGTTATGGGATTAGTTATAAATTGGCCTTGAGTTACAGGGCTCATTAATGCTACCTAGATTGTTATTATTTATAATGATCAACCTCAATACCAAACCCACAGAAGATGGGCAAGAGAGCCTTGGCAGGCTAAGTGGTCCCAGAGTCCTGCTCTGTACATAGCTGGCAGCACTAATGCTGGCTGGCTCTGTTGTACACCTTTAGCCTGGAAATTCCTTCAGGAGGGATACAGAGCCTGAGTACCAAGTGAAATCCCTGTGAAGCAACTGAGCCAGCCTTCCCTGGTCCTGAAGGTTTTGATTTTGGTGGTTACTGGATAGCTGAGTAGAGGGTAAAACAGATCTGGGCTCGATGAAGTCTAAACTGTTCACTAGATGTGTGACCCTTCAGCAAGTTACCTGCCCTCCTGAATTTGCAGTAAAGAGCAAATAAGACAATAGCTATGTAGCTCTTAGCACTCTGCTTGGGATAGGGAAACCCTCCATCTAGTGTACATTACACACACACCTCACACACACACCCTTAGTAGAATGGGAGAAATCATTGAAACTATTTTTCCCTGTTGCTCAAGGAGGGACTGGTCAAAGAAAAGGACTTCACTGCTGTTCAGTGGAAGACTTGGGCTCCAGAGCTCAGCTGTAGAAAGATGTAATCTAGGTGTAAGCAGTATTTTTAAATTATGTTTCTGGAGCCCCTGGGTTTGCAGATATGCCTCTGAGCCTGCGGCAGATAAAAGTGGGGATGGAGTCAAGGAGATTTAGGGGTTCTTGGGGTCTCTACACTTAAGAAGCTAGAGCAGCTCCACATTAGTGTGTCTCAGGAGTGGGCTGTCAGAATGCATTTGCAGATATCTCATTACCTTTTGTCTTGAAAGGAAATCTACTATTCTGGGACAAGGACTCTGAGGGCTCACCAGTGCTCTATGTCAGAGTCTGTGTAATCTGAGCCTGTGGGCGGTGGCCTGCCATTAGGCACACATGGCCACCATGAGGAGAAGTGGCCAATTGCCCAGGAAGGATTCCACAGAAAGAGTTCAAAGGGCATCCAGAGAAGCCCACACTGCTCTGTAATGCTGTCCAGGTTTCCTCCTCCTCCACAGAGGCCTCCTAGGCCTCCCTGAATGAGACTGTTGGTCTAACAGGAAGAAGAAAGGAAGCCAGCAAGTTAGGGAGGACCTAGAGGGCACAATCCCTCTGTGGCTGGCCACCTTAGTCCCCTCGACTGACAGACAGCTCAGGAAGAAACTGAGAGAGAAGCCTCAGGGCTCAGGTCAATGGAGTCTCACAAGGGAAAAGTTCAAGAGCACACAGCAAATGGTTCTAGATGCCAGTTCAAATCAGACCTGGACTCGGGGAACGGAAGGAAGCTCTGCGTCCCTGTGCTCCATCCACTGCCAGTTACTGGAACACGCGCATGCGCCCTCCCCAAGGTGCTATGTTAACTCCTTAGAAATGGCACAAGGATTTAAATCTGATCTCTTTGAGAGGGGCAGTGACTTGTACAACAGACAGCTGGATTTTTCACCATGTAACTGCTAGTAAACATTGTAAAGTCTTGTGGTTACTGACTTCTCAGGGCCACGATGTTAATTTCCAAGATTCACTCAAACATGAAGAACCTACTACTTAATAAATAACTTACTCAGGAGTCCCCTCATGACATTAGCCATTTTACTTTGCCACACAAACTTCTAGGAAAGACAAACATTCTGCCAACTCTGTTCTCATTTCAGTTACTGCTATAGCCTCCAGGGGCATGTGTAATTATCAACCAGTGCCTAAAGGATTTACTTCCTCTTATCAACCGGCCAAAGCAAATATTTGTAAACTTGAATGCTAAACAGAGTTTAATCTGAGTTGTCTTTAAGATTAATGAAGGGCTGGGGATGTAGCTAAGTGGTAGAGTGCTTAGCTACTTGGCTACCAGTAGCCAAGAGCTGCTTGGAAAGGTCTGACCAAGTTGGTACAGAAGCCCAAAGAAAAACAGGAGACAGGAATGTTTTTGAAAAACACACCTAATGCATGAGAACTTAGCATCAAGCAACACTCAAATTCATAGGAAAGAGTCCTGAATATTTTTTGGAAAACACGAACTGGCATTGTACCCTCCTAAGGCAGAAGTCTGCAGTCTGTGGCTTAGTTAGGGTTAACAGTTTTGAGTGTGTGTTCAGGTGCTGTGACTCACTAGCTCCAGGATTTGAGCAGGTTGCATGACCTCTCTAAGTCCCAATTTCCTTCCAGGTAAGATGGAGAAGAAAACAGGACTTTAAAAAAAAAAATGGGAGAATTAAAAAATAATGCTTGGAAGATACTTAAAATAGAGTTCAGAACATAGGGCTGGGGTTGTGGCTCAGTGGTAAAGTGCTTGCTCACCTAGCACCTTCGAGGCCCTGGGTTCGATCCTCAGCACCACATAAAAATAAATAAACAAAATAAAGGTATCGTGTACAATTAAAAAATAAATATTAAAAAAGAACATATTAAGTGCTACATGGATAGCAGCTGTTAT